TAAAGGTAACAGTTCCCGTAGAAACATTCATGAAGGATTTCAAGATGGATGATGTTACCAAGGAGGAATTGTTGAAGAAGAATTGGGAGAAGATGGAAGAGAGATGAAATCAGAAGCAGTTCTGGCAAATCTTGGACTTGATTGATGTTCATATTTTCAACCAATTTAAAGCTGTTTATTAATGTACTTAATTTAATGCAACTATCTGACAAGGCTGAGACATCTCTGTATGGTCAAATGTGAATGAACCAATAAAATAATAACAATAAATTATTCTCTAAAATTACACAAGACACCAGGATTGTTATTTAACTCTAAAGTCACCTATATGACCCCCCTCTTTGTGTATTTTTATGTACTCATGAAATGAAAGAAACTGAATTACATTGAACGACTGAGAAAAGGGAGGAAAATGCATGCCCAGCTTTCTTACAAATGTCTTCAGGAAGAATTTGGTGCTTGGGATGCATATATGGAGTGTCGATAAAGAGACACTTGCTTCATCACTAAAATATGATCTGTGTGCTCATCCCACTCAGGTTACTTTGTACTTCGAATCAAAGAAAGTGTGTTGACTGAACCAGTTCCTGTTTCATGCACTCCAATTTTATATCGAGACCATTACCTCCATTTTCAAATCCCATATGAATATGAAAGGATTTAAGAAATTTCCATGTACTTTTCAAAAAAGGTAGAGAGAAATGATGGTGTCAGTGCCTCAATTTCTCTCTTCACCTCAGGTGCAACAGCATAACGCCCAGGTGTCGGCTTCATATTCTTCTCCCATGCTATTAGTCTCCACCTCAGAGGTTCAATTGGTTTGAAATGCTCAAATGTGGAGGGAACATCTAAGCCACGAAGGATCAGGACTCCAGCCCTTTTGAACATTTCCTTCCTCTTGCACAGTTCATGCTTTAAACCTTCAGGGTCCTTTTCAAAAAGCTCCATTTCCCTGAAACACATGAAAACATGTCAGAATGATGAGCATAACAAGTAGCAATGTCATCCATCATGGACAATTTTGATGTCACAGATACTCTTTACTACATTGTAAAAATGTTATTCTCATGGGTGATATTAATATTAATCTTCACAATCACAGTAAGGATACCCTTGCCCTAAAAGAACTAATTGCATCATATGACATGACTTCTGGCAACACCCTGTACCCAACAAGATATGGAACTGAAACTGCAACTCTTATCGATCATGTCATTATTAAGCAGGGTGACTTGGAAGAAGCCTCGTCATACACCATGGATTGGGACGTAAGTGATCATTGCTTTATAATATTTGAAGCAAAACTAACTAAACTTGGAGATAAACAGATAAATAATACAGATAAAGTTAAAAGAGTCTTATATAACAAACTACTAAAATATCTCCAAGACCATAATTTTGAAATAACTCCTAACTCAGAAGAGAAAAGTTTCTGTGACTTTGTTGGATATATCACTGAGGCGGTAAAGCTATGCACCATAGCAAAAAGCTCTACAAAAAAGGAAATTCATCTGCAGCCCTGGGTCGATTCCAAATTCACAGACTTGGTGAGAGAGAAGAATATTGCGTACAAGAAAACCAAAGTTAAAAACCCCTCATCAATAGTCATTGAAGACTATAAACAAATCACAAATAAAGTAACTTCCCTAAAAAGGCTGCTTAAATCACAGTATTATGAAACTCCATTACACCAAAATATAAATAAGTGAAGCACAGGCAACAACTTAAAGCGTGGTGAGCTTGTACAGACTGAAGTGGACAAAGTGTGCTATGAATGGATTTTCAGGTGCAAGAAGGATTCACTTACTCTTCATTGAAGACTTTGCATGCAGGAAGCCAGCCCCAATTCATGGTTTTCAATTCATTCAAGAAATGATTCAGTTTTTCAGCCATGTACAGCAAAGTGTCACGAGAAACTTTTTCTAAATCATAGGAGCCGCATCCATCCCAAAGACTGCCCAGGAAGTTTGCGTGCTTTCCAATGAAGTGCTGCTTCCTCTGGACTCTAAATTCCTTATTAGCAATTGAAAAGAGCTCCCCACATAGGACACACGACTCTGTAAACCAGTGGATCCGTCTACTGCTGCTGTACTTTTCATGCCGCTTCTTCTCTACAGGATCAACAGTGGACAACTGACAACACTGCAATGGAAAAAGGAATATTAACCAATTTATTACAGATTTTTTAAAAAAGATGACATATAATGAAGAAGTTAATTTAAAAACACGTAGATTACCTCAGGCAAGAACCAATCATGAAGTATGGGCATCTCTGTGCGACCGTAATCCCACTTGAGCTCCTTGCCAGGACCGTGAGAACCAGACAAGTATATCCTGCACATGGAATGGCTCTCACATGTAATGACTGCAACCTTCTGTTTTTTAGTTTCGCACCAGTTCATATAGCTAACCGGTCCCCCAAAATATCCGTTAGGTTCAAGTGCACTCCTATTAAAGACATGTGCCAAAGCCAACTCTTTTGGAATCTGGGCTATCCAACCGAATTCTATAGCTTCCAGTGGTTTGATGGAAACATTAAGTGGTTTATCAGTCCTAACCCGGACTCGGTAACCCTCCAACTCTGCACCCTTCTGGATGAATACCTCGAACAAAGTCGACGCTATCCTCCACATTTCCCCAATTCTAATTTTCAACAATTCGAATTCTTGTGATGTGAGACCTGTGGGGGCAAAAAACATACTATAAATATTTCACGTGCACAGAATAAATGTTTATGCTATAGTACAACGTCATGACACTATTACCTTGTCCCTCACCCTCAGCTTCTCCACATGATAATCCATCTAATGCTGAACAAGTTCGTAACGGACACCCCTTCATGTACTTCCTCCCGCATTCATTGTCGTGACACCACAATGCTCGGAGTTGGGCTGCCGAGACTCGCAGTCCATTAGATGCAGTCCTACACCATAAAAGAAGAGGCAGCTCATGTTAGTTCACATCAACATCTTTTCATTTTCAGTAAGAAAACATAACCTATAAACATACACAACAGAAACAGAAGAATTCTGTCCAGCACTTTTATAACTGGTACGCGGACGTT